ATACAACAAGTCCAAAGTGAGCCAATTAAGGTCCAAGTAGGGGTGTTCAAATGGTTACCGTGGTAATAACCAAACCAATTAAGCCTACATTTCATTAACCATGGTATAAAATATCCTGACCAAACCGTCCAAATTAACACGAAAACCAAATTAACCAAACCAAAGTTTAATTGGTTTGGTTAATCGGATAATCGGATTAACCAAATAAGTCCAGTGTTGTTAAAGCCGACCCGAGTCGGTCAGTCGAACCGTCAAAACCGGCACCCGGAGACCAGACCGGCTCGGATCAGTCAAAAAACCGGAACGGGTAGAATGGTCGGTTGGCGAGCGGCCAAAATGGTTAACCGTTTGAACCGCTCTAACCGTTTGACCGGTTTTTGCTTTCTGGCCGCCCATTGAAATCGATTGGAGGCGAGGCGACTCGCGAAGCTCAGATCCGAGAACGGCGGTGATTGGGGTAGAGGAAGGCGATCTTCACGATGGCAAAGCAGACGCGGGGGTGGCGGCGGGCGCTGCTGTCCCACTTATCGTCGAAGATTCGTCAGAGGGAGGCTGCGAGGCTGCGTCTGGTGGCACCGTGGCGCCCGGCGGGATGGGGTAGGGCTTTTGTGGAGAAGAATCGCAGAAGAAGAAAATGGAAGAGGAGATCGTTGTTTGGGAGAGAGAGAGTGAGAGAGAGAGAGAGAGAGAGGGTGAGGACTTAGGATTGAGGAAGGTGTGCAGGTGCGGCTGCCTCCTTGGGTGGATGGGGTAGGGTTTTCTTTTAGTTATTATATATATAATATGTAATATTATTAAATGGTACTTGGTAAAATTTATTTTAGTCACTAAATTGTTAAATTATTATTTTATGTGTCTTCTATTTATGTTATTATTGTTTATAAGTTATCGATTCTCTAATGGCTTTTAAACGGTTTAATATCGGTTGGACCATTAAAGTGCGAGCCGTTCACGTTACCGGGTCATACTCCGGTTCGGTTTTGACAACATTGCAAATAACATAACTTTACATGAAAACAATTATCATGTTAATGAATAAAACATAACCATATGTTATTACTATCATAAACTATCATTATATATAAGCAATAATAATAAGACTAACCATCCATGATTATCATCATCATTCGAGTTAGTACATCATTCATCATCTCTGCACCTAATATAGTTAACTTACAACAAACCTTTAACATCAATATTAAATACATACCAATACCACTCATCAGAAAGTTAAAGCTCTCCTACAAAATACTTAAGCTATACATAGTTTGAGGTGGTTGTCGTGGTATTGTACGTAATCCTAAAGTCTAGTAATTGTCCAAAATGTTTTTGGTTTAGTAAAATGGCAGGTCCATTTAATTTTTGACCCATAATGCCTTGGTTTGTTGTGCACATGGAAATAAAACAGGGAATCACAAAAGTTTGGTTTGATTGGTTGCATGGAAGTATAAATAATTTTGTATATTAGGTGTATCATTAATTGATTAATTGGTTTCATTGGTTAGCAGTGTTGAAACCAAACCAAACCACCTAAACCAAATAAGCTAAATTGTCTAACCAAACCAGACCAATTATCCAAATTAATCAAACCAAATTAACCAAATGCTACCGGTTAATATGATTACCACGGTAACCAATCCGTTTGAACACCCCTAGGTCCAAGGGTGGGAAGTTGGGAACTCATTACATGTCCTAGCTGTAGCGGTTGTCGGGTAATCTTTGGCCCACAGGTAAGAATGGGCCAAAATGTTGGCAGCCCTAAAGATAAAAAATTTCAGCCCACCACTTGATTTCCGGGCCCGGCCCGACCCACACCTCAGCAGACAGCTTCCATATTCGAACACCGGCCAGCGCCACCATTCTTCGTTCAATCGCAGGCAGCTTCAATTCCAAAAAGCAAAAAGCATGGATCTAGGCTCTAGCTTCAGCCGCCTCCTCAATGCCGGGTTCCCTCTTCAATCGAAACTTACCCGTCCAGTCCCGACGATTGGAGCATGCATCACTTCACTCTCTGCTTGCAAGGTCAAGGTAATGAATCGTCCATGGCTCTTTGAGCAACCTCTCCTTGTTCGAGCTTCAAGTTGTTGTTGTTATGATGATTGTTTCTTTCTCCCAGACACAGAGCAGAGCGCATTTGCTGCCAAGATTGCCAAGTCCTTGTATTCCAATTGAGAGTGCCTCGATTGCACAGCACAACGGACACTCATCTCATCAGAAGCAGCCTGGATCGCTTCGCTTTTGGTAAGATCCCTTTCCCCTCTTTCCTGAATATAACTCGTTAGTTTCCGCAAGCTAAGCTTCCATAGTTTAGCCCAGAACTTAGGAAATTAGAATTAGGTTCCGGGTGGTCATACCTGCTCTGTGGTTGAGGGCTGAAATCTCTTAACCATATAGATGCCATTGGAGTGGAGGTCTCATTTCCAGGGCTGGGAAGGATTGGGGTTTGGGGGATTAGTTGCTCCTCCATCGCACCCAACACTTACTGGATGAGATGAGTACGCCAGGACTGATTATCCATGATCATAGATGCCCAATTCATGGTCCGGACGAAATCGATCGTTGTATGGGATCTCTTTTTTTCCTGCCATTGCCGATTAGACTTTCCCGTTGCCCACCTTCCATCTTGAACCTCAGGCTTTTTGCACCCATTAAGCTCTTCCAAACATAGCTGGTGTTAGGGGCAACTCTAGTCTGCAGAATTGTACTAGCGCGAAATCGCTAAATGTCGCCCTAAGAATTGCTAAAGGTCGCCCTAACTTACAATTCAATTTACCTATATACCCTTAATGAAAATTTAAAAAATAGGCCAACCAAACAGCCCTTTCACCCTTCTGCATCCCGTCGTCGGAGACCTCTGCAACCCGCCGCCGGCCCGCCAAGTTGCCGCCGCCAGTCCCGCCGCCGCTCGTCCCGCCGCCCGCCTCGTCCCGTCGCCGACCCTCTGCATCTCGCGCTCCACAGTCGCGCCGGAGAAGAAGAAGCTAAAAAAAAAAAAAAAAAATCGCCCGCAGTGAAACCGCGGTTAGACCGACGGTCAACCGCGGTCAACGCGCGGTTGAACCGACGCCTGACCGCGGTCAAAGGGCAATTGACCAATGGTCAAACCGCGCTTTGACCGCGGTCAGCCGTCGGTTCAACCGCGCGTTGACCGCGGTTGACCGTCGGTCTAACCGCGGTTTGACCGCGGTCGATTTTTTTTTTTTAATTCTGTTTTTTTTTAATATTCTGTGTTTAAATAAATATTATTAATAATAAAAAATTAGTTATATGATATAAAAATTTGAAAAACGTTTTCGATAAATGTTAATTAATGATAACAAATTTAAAGAATATAATAAAAAAATTAAACATTTTAATAATAAAAATTTAAAAGTAATTCGTTTATCTACTTAATTATTAATAATTTTACCTTAATTAATTATTTACTTTTATGTAAATAATGATTATATAGAACGTAACGTAAATAATGATTACATGGAAATCTTAAATTAATTACTTTATGTACTCTATTATTAATAATCCATTATTAATAATTCAAACGAAAAAATCATAAATCATATAAAAAATAGAAAATTATTCAACGAAAAAAATAAACCCAAAAAATGCCCAACCGCAAGTGACCTGCGGTTGGACCATGGCTGGACCGCAAATGACCTGCGGTTGTACCATGGGTGGACAGCAATTGACCTGCGGTTGGACCATGGCTCAACCGCAGGTGATTTGCGGTCCAGCCATGGTCCAACCGCAGGTCATTTGCGGTCCACCCATGGTCCAACCGCAGGTCATTTGCGGTCCAGCCATGGTCCAACCGCAGGTGATTTGCGGTTTTTTTTTTTTTTTCGTTTTTCAGTTAATGTATTTACCTCGTCGGAGTCGCTACTCCGACGATATCGGCTTCAAAATGACGATGATGGATTTTTCTCTTCTTAGATAGTGTTTTTTTAGTCCAAGTGGTGTTTGTTTCATAAAGGGAAGGTAAAGAAGCTAAGGGGGTAAAAGTGTAACTTTGATTCTTTTTAGGGCGACCTTTAGCAATTTTAAGGGCGACCTTTAGCAACTCCCTACTTCTCCATTTTTCTGCTGATCAATATTCCGGCTAAATGAAACCTCCGAGGTTAACTTTTGGCCGGATTCAGCTTTCACATGTCTGCAGAATTCTCTTAGGGCTAGGGGTCGTTTGGATGGAATCCAGAGCTTTGGTGATAAGAGCTGAGAGACCTTCGGCACATAGACGACGAAATAGATATGGCGAGAGTTGTCGAAGCCCTTTCAAAGAGCCTGAAACGCGGTACCAATGTCCATTAACCAGCACTGAATAAGTGACTGAAAACTTGGACTTGCCACTTGAGAAATACAATTTCTTTTTTTCCTTGAATGACAACACCACCAACAAATAATTTCAGTCACCATGGTATGACCTAAATAAAGAATTTGTTCAGTATCCTATTTTTATAATAGAGTCGGTCAAGGTAAAATAGTCTAATTGAATGATTACTTCTAAATAGATTATAATTTTACGTATTTAATTTCTATCTTTTGGTTTTCCGTTATTTCCTCTGCAGAATGCAATTTTTTTTATAAAATAGAATAGAGAATGCGACACTATTAATTGTTTATCTCCTAAAGTTTTGGGCCACTCGTCTAAAACACAAGCAGCCAGACTACCCAAACTACCCTTCATTCTTTACCACATATGATCGCATAAAAAGGGGCTAACGAGGATGAAATTGTACATATCAGTATTTCCTTGTATTTTGGATTGCTTCTTAAATGTTCACCCTTAACATCACCATCTCAAATTAAAAAAAAAAAAAAAATTATCCAGAAAAAGAAAATAATTTATTCCCAACCATTTTCCATACAAATCTGTTCATTTTGCTGATATTAATATGAGGCCCTTGTGAATTAGACTCTCAATGTTGCAGGTAAATCATCTTCTCTTTTTATAATATTTTTTTTTGTCTCTGTAGTTTCTATTATTTTCCCTTCCAATTAAGAACCCAAGATTTAGTCTTTATAATATTTATAAACTCAGCTTTTCCTCAATTCTGCATCTGGGATTCTCAATATAATAACCCCCCACAGTACAAAAAATAAGACAAAAAGCATCGATAATTAATACATTATATTGACATGCATTCTGTTATAGTTTTTTTTTCTCCTCCCATGTTCATCTTTCATGGGTAGTTAATCTCTGAAAAATATTATTGTGTGTAATTTATATGTTTTGTCCGCCATTAGAGAAGGGGAAGGAAAGAAAAAATCTTTGAAGCCGAAGATTGAACCATTTATAAGAAGGACCTTAGGTGGTGGTGGGTTGTCCTCTTTTCCTTTCGTTGGGAATTAATATCTACAGTTGCTGACCGATAACGGTTTCTCTCGACAAAACCCCCCACTTTCTTTTGCGCCTCTACGCCATTCATTTTTTTTTTAATTTCCATTGCATGTAATTTGAAACATAAGACGAAAACAAGGCCGGCGGCAACCCGAGTTTTGTCTCCGGCCGCCGGAGAGTTTCATGAGTTGTCTCTTTTCCCTCTCCGTCGTTGTTCACTTTGGTGCATGTGTACAACATAGCGGCTGATGCAATTTCCTCTTGGCTTGCAGTGGTGGGTTGTATTTGTGACAGGGAAAGCAGAACTAATGTGAGATTCATGAGAAGGTGGCTATGGCATCAAGCTCTTGTGCCAAGCAGATTCCAGTCGTCAGCACCTATATTCGGTATCCAGCTGCTATGGCTGAATATGAGGAGGTTAAGAACAATCCGAAGTTGTTCATGGCTACTTTGGAGAAGTTCCATTCGACTATGGGGACCAAGTTCATGTGAGTATTAATTCTCATTGTATAACGTGAATGAATATGTTGCTCATCTCTGACCGCCATTGAGGTTACTGTAGGATTCCTATAATAGGAGGAAGAGAATTGGACTTGCATCGGCTTTTTGTGGAGGTGACACAACGTGGTGGCCTTCAGAAGGTAACTATACATGGCTTTTGATTGTTTGAATCCATAGTTGCTGTCCCAAAATTTGAACTCTGTATCCGATTGATTATGGATATAGCTAAAAGGGATGTCATGCAGGCCACAGATTAAGTGTTTTCTTACAGTAATGTTCTTTGGTGAACAATATGCTAACAGATCCTTGGAGAAAAAAGATGGAAAGATGTGACTGCCACTTTCAATTTCCCATCCACTGCCACGAATGCATCTTATGTGCTGCGCAAGTACTACATGTCCTTGCTTCAACACTATGAACAACTCTACTTCTTTAAAGCCCATGGCTGGAATGCTGCAGCTGCAGCTGCAGCTGCAGCAGCAGCAGGTGTGTGTGGATTCAAAATGCTAACTGCTCAGTTCCTCTTCATGCATGTTCATTCAAACTACTGTATGTGTCAGTGCTGAGAGTTTTCTTATTTTGTGCAGCAGCTCCTCCACAAAACCCACTGGGAGGGCATTTTGCAGTTCAGTTTCCTGTTCACCCATTACCAGGATACCGACCACCTGCTGCAGCAGCAATACAACAACAACAACAACAGCAAATAAATGTTGCACATCAAGCACCAGGAGGTCTCCCTTGATTCTTTTGAAACGCTATTCGTCGCCCTAAATTTTCCTCTTCGTCATTTTCGTAGTTGCTGCTATATATTCTTTTCTACCTGACACTCGAACTCTCCTATTGACTGCAGCCAAGGCAGCGTCAGCAGCAGCAGCAGCAGTAGGTACTCCAGCAGTGGCAGTCGGTGTAATTGATGGAAAGTTTGACAGCGGTTATCTTGTTACTGTCGTAGTAGGCGGTGAGAAGTTGCAAGGTGTTCTATATCAGGCAACAACTGATCAAGGCCAACAACAGCATTGCCAAATGTTGCAGCAGCAGCAGCAACAGCAGCAGAATCAACAAAACTATTACAGTTTGTTGGCCAACGCCAACAACAGCAATGTGGCCGTGGGTGGTGTAGTTGTACATCGCCGCAGGCGCAGAAGAAAGAAGAATGAGATAAAAAGGAGGGATCCTGATCATCCGAAACCAAACAGAAGTGGTTACAACTTCTTCTTTGCCGAACAGCATGCTAGACTAAAGCCACTTCTTCCAGGGAAGGACAGAGAGATTAGTAGGATGATTGGTGAGCTCTGGAACAAGCTCAAGGATGGGGAAAGATCTGTAAGGATGCCAATATACATGTGTTTGGATGTGGATTCTTTTCATTGTTACCAGTCTTTCTTAACCATTTTTTCTCTCCTTTGTCTGGGTAAAAAAGGTCTATCAAGAGATAGCTATGAAAGATAAAGAAAGATACAGATCAGAAATGGAGGGTTACAGGGAGAGGTTGAGAATAAGAGGAGAGCAAAGTTTGGTGCTTGGCGAGACAGTAGTGCCATTATTGGCGCAACAGTGGCAGCAGCAGCCTCATGATATGGTGGAAGCTAATGATCTCAGACCTGCAGGAAATGGTGAAGGTGGCAGGGAATCCCCCCACCACGAACTAGATAATGAGAGCTGCAGCAGCAGTTCTGGGTGTGAGGTTGGATCTGATGAAGAAGAAGATGACGACGACAACAACAAAGATGATATGGCCGGGGATTTCGATATGAGGGAAGCAAGTTCTTGTCCAGTCCAAGGATTAGATCCTATTCTTAGCAAGTTGGGTATGGAGGGTGCTTCTTCAGCTCTTGAGCCCTTCAACTCCAATAGAGTAGTGGTAATAGGAGAAGATAAGACGACCACGGAGGCTGGCAGCCAGAGCGTTAATCGGAAGGCTGGTGAGGACACAACAAAGGATGGAAACAACAACATGCAGAATTCGTCAACCGAAGCAAACCAAGATGGTGTTCCTTGAAGTGTACCTTCAGCTTGAATGGGCTCCTCTTAACCTGCAAACCATGATGATTTTACAAACTCTTTGAGCAGAGTCGGATAAGACATATAGGGTGCTTCGTTTTTCTTTCCTTTTCCCCCCTTTTTTTTGTTTGTGTTGTTTCTCATTTGTTCAACCACTTAGAACCTTCCTGCATTCTATTTTAGTGGACAATTTTGCAATAGGGATCTCATTTAGTAGGAGATGATAGTTAGAAAAGAGGGCGAAAGTTATAATCTGACTTTTGCCAGTTTTGTAGGAAAGACGGGACTTTCTTATTTATGTTGTTTCTCATTTGTTCACCCTCAATTTTAGCAAGATCTTGATAGTATTATATATAAAGGGTAATAGTTAAAATCATTATTTCTTAGAAAATATGGATGGTACTAGACTTATTCTTTTTTTTAGCAAGTACTGTTTACTAGATTTTTTTCTGAATCGCTATTCTTCGTCCTTTAATTAAAATTTTATCGCTCTAAAACACAATAAATTGACATATTTATCTCTCAATCCAATTTCAATTATAAACCCTAATCAAACAATCCATAGTCCCTTCGTCGCCCCCAATCCAAATCTGCCACCGTTCACCCAAAAAATCGAAGAAGAAGAAGGTGCCGCCTCTGCTCCTGCTCTGTCGCCTTTCCAAACGGGCCTCCCCTGCTCAGTCGCCTCCCTTGCTCACCCCAACCCGAGCAGCTCGCCGACGACAAAAGAAAGAAGACACCGCCGTTGATTGCCATATTTTTTGTTTTTTTTTTTGTTGGCAGCGCCGGTCGGGTAGAAAATCCGTCGTCGGCGCTGTGGGGAAGACTTGATGATCTGTAAGAGATGAAATTGCAAATTGCAGTTGGGGACTTTAGCTTTTAGGAATGCGCTCTCATTTAATGAAAATTTTCCTTGTGTACTTGCTCAAGCTAATGGTGATCAATTGATGATTGTCAAGCAGCATATTATGGAACTGCGGTTATGTTCTGATCACCGTGTAATTACTCTTAAACACCGCAGTTTTGGAATTTGATGGAAGTGGGTGCCCCTATTCTAGCATGATGTTCTTTCTTCCAAAACTTCATATTGTTTCCAAATTAGTAATTGATTTTGCAGAGAGTATAAAGATGAAACTTGACTAGAAATTAGTAATTTATTTCAATTGATGATGCATCTATTGAAGTTGTGATTTTTGTTTTTCGCCGGTAATTTATAAATTTGTTTTGGCTTCAACGGTTTAAACTATAAATAAATTAACTAAGGACATTAAAGTAAAAGTAATTTATTTAGGACGACGAATAAGAAATTTTAGGGCGACGAATAGCAATCCCCATTTTTTTATGCTCAACACATAATTTTACCAGAAGTTATGTTTTCCTACGGTCCATTGCTTATGTAATTTTTCATTTTTTATCGGTTACACCCTATTTCACCATAATATTTTTTTACCTTTAGACATCTATCTCACTACTTTTTTATTCTTCACCGAATTTTTATAGGGTTATGAGTATAATATGCCTCTCTACTATGTCGTTTTATCGAACATGCCCTTCTACTATTGTTTACATCAAACATGCCCTGTACTTAAGAAAAATGATCAAACATGCCCTTCTGTTAATATTATCATCCAAAAACAGCCAACCACGGTCGTACATTGGTTTGGGTGACACAAATGTCTAAAATATCCCTGGTAATTTCACTTTAGAATTTTTTGGGTTCTTTTGTAGAGTCAAATACCTCTAATAATTTCACTTTAACGAGACCTAGAAAAATAACACGGGGGACAAAACTGACATTTTTCTTCTCATTTGCCGATGTTGGGTCGTCTACATCTCGGTTCAACCATTGCTGACGATTTTTTTAATGGAAATTTTAACAGAAGGGCATTTTTTATAATTTTTCCAAAGTACAATGGCATATTTGATGTAAAAAATAATAAAGGGGCATGTTTGATAAAACTACATAGTAGAGGGGCATATTATACTTATAACCCATTTTTATACTATACACACAGTTTTACCATAATATGTTTTCCTCAATCAAGTGTTTATGTAATTTTTGTTTTCCATTCCACCACCCAATTTCATCATAATATTTTTTTTATATCTTTAGACAACTATCTCGGTATTTTTTCATTCCATATTACAAATAAATTTACGTATTATAAATGCATCGCGAAAAGCTTATAATTGACTACAATGTTCATTATCTCATCGATCTCCATTATGCAAACTTAACTTTTACATTGTAGTTTAATTAAATGTGATATTTTTCAAAATTTGATTTTATTAGTAGGCCACATAATATGAAAGATTTATGTAACATCATTATATAACAATTACCTACTATATAAGTCTTGATTAATATGATAATATGCAAGATTTATGGAGGGATAATAATTTCCTATGTATCCATTAAACAAGCATATCATGTAGTCTTTCATGATGTAAGTTTGAATGAAAATTCATAAAGTATTATCTAAATTGTCGACGATCTTGTCAATTTGCATTATACAAAGATTTTGTAAGGTCGATTATCTTTTACATAACATTTAATCAAATGTGATAAATTAATATTACATAATAGTTTATTTGAATATGAAATCTATAATTTGATTTTATTATTAGATCACACGTTAACGAAGATTACATAATTTCGTTCTATTACAGTTAGTAAAATAAATAGTGTAAAACTTAAACGTTGAAGTGATAGTTATTTCTTAGGCATCAATCAAACAAACGTGTTACACAAACATTCGGTAATAATTAGGACACTACATATAGCTTGTGAAAGTGCATTGAACTATTTTGTGAATAAGAGAAAGGCTTCAAAGGCGGGATTGAGGTTTTATTGTGGGTTAGACTTGGGCAAAAGACATTTTTCTCTTTCGTGTTGCACCATCATTGCAAACACCTTGTTGGTTGGAGGTAAGGGGTCAAGAAGCATCATAGTTTACCTAGTTACATCGAAACTGTCACTCAAAATTTTCAAGAACATGATGAATTTATCATTCATGTGGTATTTTCGAAGGGATACAAGAACACTGTGGCATATAGTTTCCCAATTACAATAAGGAATAAACCAATAGTCGGCTAATCGATCCCAAAGTGCCCGTTTGTTGGAGTAATACTTAATTAGAAACACTCTAAGCACCTTGCTTGAGGTTGAAGATGGATTCTTTAAAATATGTAATTCACAAGGAATCTTCTTGAGAGAATTGTGTCGTAACTCATTCCAGACACCAACTACACTGGTGACACAAATGATGTTTTCTGCAATGGTGAGATTGAAAGAGAGCAAAATCCAATTTAGGCGAAGTTTGTTGTTTTGATTCCACGACTCAAGAAGAGAGGAATAGTCAACGGGTTTGGTTAGCCAAACCAAAACTAAAAAATCCGAACCCGAAATCAGTAAAAACCGAACCCCTAAGAATATGACCCAACTGATATTCCTCAAGGGATTTCATTCAAAACCCAAAAATCAGACAATGCATCTCATTGGTTCGGTTTCGGTTAAAACCGAAAAACCGAACCCATTTTTTCTTCTTTGGTCCTATATATGCAAGAAACAAACTTACGACACCCGCACTTCATTCCTAGGTAGTATTTAGTTAAATCGGCACGAGCACACGAGTTCCATATAATATGTATATGGAAACGTGCATGAGCACTACTTTGTCACTCTTGCCGGCCGGCCGGCAGGTATTTTGGAGGATACATGTGACGAATATATGTAAAATCCCAGCTGACAGCGCTGTTCTTGAGCTGTTGGATCCGACGACTTATTCCCTGGGATACGGTTCCAAACTTCGAACCTAACCCTTCTCTTCTCCCTATATAAACCCCGTTACGCACTCCACCATGTATATATCGATCATCTTCTTCCTTCCGACCTTCCAATGGCTACTCTGCATGTTCTGCTTGCTTGCATCTTGGCCCTGCTCGTTTGTTCCGCAGCAGCAGCAGCAGCAGAGAGCTATAGTAATAAAGTGCCAGCAGTGTTTGTGTTCGGAGACTCGTTGGTCGATACAGGGAACAACAACTACGTCGCCACCATCGCCAAAGGAAACTTCCCACCGTACGGCCGAGACTTCCCCGGTGGGAAAGCCACCGGCAGGTTCAGCAACGCCAAAGGAGTCGCCGACTACATTGGTACGTGTAACCAACTTCTCCCCTGTTATAATGGTTCTAAAAAGTACTAGCTTAAGCTTGTCTAGGCGCAAGTGAGAAAGAAAACGCTTCTTTTAATTGGCAAAAAGCAAAGGAGAAAGCGTCACGATCATGTTGTGGCTTTGGTGGCGCCTAATCATCATTGAGTTGTGCCTCAAAATGATGTCATGATGTCTTTTTTCTACCTATTGATAGCTACTAGGGAGGACGATCTTGATTTCTCTATAGTTAATCAGGCAAGGATATAGTTAGAGACGACATCTTAAGAGTATCTTCTTCTTTCTTTTTTGCGCTTCTTCGCTTTTAATTTGCTTCACTATTTTCCAGCTTGTGCTTCCTTACTCACTTCTCCACACTACGTTTTATTCTTTTACCGTATGTTGTTGATGAAAGTTTAGAAATGAGAGGTAGCTAGATGCGATGATATTGATTCATAAAGTTGTGATTCTAGACAAGTGTAAGATATTTTACTACGTTTACCTCTAATGCTTAGGCACGTCTAGGCGATGCATGAGTGTGCCAGACATGAACTAGACAGAGCCTCAACGCTCGCCTTACACCTAGCGCTTTCTTGAACCATATGTCCGATTAAATTGATGAGAATAGCTTCACTCACTCCCATGAGGCAAAAATGTATATTTTCAGCTGAAGTCTTTGGAGTGAAACAACTTTTGCCACCATATTTGGATCCAAGCTTGGACCTCCCAGAACTGCTTACCGGCGTGTGTTTTGCTTCTGCTGGTTCTGGTTACGACCCTCGAACACCACAGAAAATGGTGAGTCGTTTTGGTCGATGAATTCTCCTTCTCTGTTCAATGCATCAAATTAATTAATTTACAACAGGTTTTTTAGCTGACTTAAAGTTGGTTTTTTTTTGGGGCTTTCTTCACGTGAAGAACGCAATACCAATGACAACTCAACTAAACATGTTCAAAGAGTACATAAAGAAGATCAATGCAAGCGTTAGCCCAGAAAGAACACAAGAAATCATTTCCCAGAGCGCGTACGTCATCTTCATGGGCAGCAATGACCTCACCAACACGTACCCAACCGTCAACTACCGGTACACCGAGGAATCCTACACCGATCTCATGATCAGCCTGGCTCTAGACTTCCACAAGGTACGACCAGAACCAGAACCAGACCAAAACACAGAGTTCGTCGCAAAAAGCATATCTTTAGCAAGGAATTA